GAGCAACTGCTGCTGCTGCTCTCACAGCTTCACACAGTGCTGGGTGTGCAGCAGCAATCTGCTGCAGCAGAAGTCCTGCAGCCCGCGCATTGCTGCTGCTCGGCGCTGCTGCTGCTGCTGCTGCTGCTGCTGCTGCTGCTTTGTGTGAACCTCCAGCAGCAGCAGCAGCAGCAGCAGCAGCAGCAGGAACTCTGTCGTTCTTCTCGAGGGCTATCAACGGCAGCAACACAGAAAAGGGAGAGCGACGAGCCAGAGCAAGCAGCACCTCTCTCACCGATAGCTGAAAGTCTGCTTCTCCCTGCTGCTGCTGCTGCTGCTGCTGCTGCTGCTGCTGCTGTTGAGGTGTCTCGACAGCCAGACGGGAGACAATCTGCGGCACGAAGGGCAGCAGATGTTTGAGGTCTGCTGCAGCGCGGAGCTGAAGTGCTGCTGGCTGCGGTTCAGCAGCAGCAGCAGCAGCAGCAGGAGCAGCAGCAGCAGGAGCAGCAGCAGCAGCAGCAGGGGGAGCAGCAGCAGCAGCAAGAGCTCGTCTGATAGATAAATTTATACGCNAGCAGCAGCAGCAGCAGCAGGGGGAGCAGCAGCAGCAGCAAGAGCTCGTCTGATAGATAAATTTATACGCGGCACTGCAGGCCCATAAGAAAACCACAAAGACAGCAGCCGCCCCGTGGTGTGCGCTGCCTGCTGCAGGTGGCTGTCGCGGAGACAGTAAGCATAGAGTGCTGCAGCATCAGCAGCAAGTCTTTTTTTTCTGCGTTGCTGCTGCTGCTGCTGCTGCAGCAGTTGCTGCTGTTCTTCTTTCGTATGATATAACTGCTGCTGCAGCAGCAACCAATCCTCCTGCTGCTCTGCTGCTGCTGCTGCTGCTAATGCATCATCCAGCAGCAAACCCAAACGCTGGTGAGCAGCAACTGAAGGAATGTAGCTGCTAGCAGCAACAGCAACATCTATATATCCTCGTGCTGCTGCTTCTTCTCCTATAAACCTATCTCGGTACAGCCACTCGCCGCAGCAGCAAAGGCACTCACACACAGACACCAGAAACTCATGCCGACGCACGCAAAATGCTGCTGCTGCTGCTGCTGATGCTGCATCAGAGCCACATGCTGCTGCTGACCCTGCTGCTGCTGCTGCTGCTGCTGCTGCTGCTCCGCTGCACATACCCAGCATCGAAGGCACCCGCATTCCATCCAGCCCCCCACCACCCCCACCCCCACCACCACCAACAGCAGCAGCAGCAGCAGCAGGCGATCTACCTGCAGCAGCAGCAGCAGCAGCACCAGCAGGCGATCTACCCGCAGCAGAACCTGCACCAGCACCTGCAGCAGCAGCAGCAGCAGCAGCAGGAGCAGCAGCAGCAGCAGGAGGAGTTTGTGTGAAGAGTTCTTTGAAGGAGAAGGGCCAAGCAGCAGACTGACAGAGACGGCGAGCTAGCTGCAGCGCTCTGTCTCCGTCTGCTGCTGCTCGCAGTGTCTTTGCTATTTCCCACTCTATAACAAATAAATCACAACATAACAAAGCATACAACTGCTGCTGCTGCTGCTGCTGCTGCTGCTGCTGCAGTTGCTTCAGCTTTAGTAGGTGCTGCTGCAGCGTCTCCTCCGCTAGCAGCAACCACTGCCGGCTCTGCAGCAGGGCCCCACACTGTC